TATTTGGGATAGCAGTATGACCCGAACCCGACGGGGAAACCTGAAATCCGGTCAAGTTCGGGTCGGGTAGGGTTAAATGATATCGGGTCGGGTTTGGAGATTTTTTCGGGTCGGGTTCAGGGCAATGTATCCCCGCTCCGCCCCGATTATATATATATATATATATATAATATTTTATATTTTTTATATTAATTATATATATAATATTTTATATATTTTATATTAATTATATATAAAATATTTTCGGGTTCGGGTTCGAATTTGGGTATAATATTTCGAATCGGGTTCGGGGACGGGGCAAAAAAATCTCCGACGGGCACCTCAATAAAAAACCCGTCGGGGATCGGGTCGGGGTCAGGGACGGGAATTCATTTCGGGTTCGAGAACGGGGCGAGCAAAACCCGCCCCGAACCCGACCCGTTGCCATTCCTAATATATATATATGATGGTCTAGCGGTTGTCATGGTGTGTACCCACAGTTCTAATAGAGAGGATACGATTCATCTAATCTCATAATCAACCTTTATAATATTTGATTTGAATTAATAAATTCATCAAATAAATATAGATAGTCGTGAAAAATTGTACACAGCCACATTATTTTAAGAATATATATATTTTTTCCCCAAAGCATTATTTAGAATATTTCGCCCCACATAAACTATAAATCAATTCATATATGCTAAGTCATTGCACCACATAAACTATAACTTAACATGGGGCAATCAAATGGAGGATTGTTGGCTCTTGTTGTTAAGGTAGTGCAACTTCTCTAATCCATATATCCAATGATATCTCAAGTGCCTCAACAAAACCCCAAAAGCCATATCTAATTTCAAATAAAGAAAATAACAATAAAAATCTCATTCCAAAGGAGTTCGAATTGAGGGATGTGAAGGGATGGGCATGGGTCTGGTCAGATTTTTGGTTCTTCCGACTTGAATCTAACCGTAAAATATATATCTTTCACTCGATCTAGACTCAGCCCAATTTTTTTGAGATAAAATCCGACCTGATTTGAAATAACATATTTATTAAAATATTATTTTTATTCAATAAAAATTGGATTTGATTGAAAGAAAATATTATGTAGAGGGGTATTATTGTAATTATATCTAAATATATAAGGTAACATTACAATTTTTTGGGTCGGATATTTTTCACCATAAACCCGAATCCGGTCCAACCCAACTCAAACATAACCTTAAAAAACTCTACCCGATCTGACCCAAACTCAATTTTTAAAAGGATCTGATCGGCTCGAAACCCGTTAGGTTCGGTTTCCATGCCCATTCCTAGGGATGTCCCTCCAATAATTTATGCTCCCATATCCCATTATTGAAATGTTAAATTATTATGTGCAAACTTGACCTAAGTATCCCAACTCCCCCATACAAGTTGGGGGTAAAGATGAAGGGTTGCATCACCAATTTTATACCAACTTTTGCTTTTCACAAAGAGACATATCATCACCATGCATGCCATCCATTCTTATCCACTAATCATTAACATCTACTTGGCCTTCACTTGATCTATGGTTAGGGTTAATTGTAGATATATATTTAGGGTTATAATTATATTCCATATTATCAAATCATTTTTCCAATTTTAAATTGATCTCTACATTTTTAAATATTCATATTGATTTTAAAAATACTAATATTAATATATCAATCATGAAATTATGAACATATATTTATGAATAATGTAGTGACTATTTATATTCAACATGTTAAAAAAATAGTCATCCTATCCTCCTAAATTTATAGATTAGGGTTTAAAGTTTTAAATTTAGAGTTTTAAATTACAAGATAGGAAATTAAAATAGATAAAAATTTTGTAGTTAAAGTATCAAAGTAGAGACATTAAAAGTTAAAGGTGTAAAAGAAAATCATGCACAATAATCTACAATTTAATGCATATCATTGTCAGCTGAACTAAGATACCTATCCAGAACCTCCTCTATAATATAGTTTTATATGAGAAAATTAGGTTATACTATATAAATATTTGTGAAGTGATAAGAGGGATATATACGAGATCATTATTGTGAATGTCCCGAGACGTACGAAAAATTTTATATTAAGAGTATGAATTTATACAATTTTAGAGACGAAAATAAATTATCAATAAAAGTATATTAAAAGAACTAGAGTTTTGACTCTATTTCTAATTGGATCATGTTATAAAGTTACAATTAAAAACAATGGTAAATTTTCTTATCCTCTGCTCGTGGGTTTTCTCTTTTGGATTTTTCACGTAAATTTTGGTGTTTATTTTATTTTATTTTAGTTTCGATCGTTTTGTTTGTCGTTAATCTTTCCTATCATCATAGTAAAAAATATAAAAAATATACGAGAATTTAAAATTTCAGGAGACGATTGCCTCTGTCATCCTCCCTTGGTCCATCGCTACTGGTGTGGGTATGTTGAGAACGATAGATGCTGATGATGCATGTCAATATCTGCTCTAACATCATAGCAATAAATAAACATTGAAATCAAATATGGGGTTAGTCCACTAATGACATAATGGCTTAGACAGATTGATTAAGATAAGGATATATTTGTTCTACATATTCACCTCTTTGAACGCCCATTTTGTAGGTGTGCAGAAATAAGCCATTAATGGCATCATGGATCATGCATTTCGTATATATAAAATTGTATCTTTTAGAAATTTCAAATTTTTATATAATTTAGATTTTTATTTTATATTAACGATATAATTTTGTATTTCTAAAATTTTATTATTATGCATTCTTCAAATTTTTAAAATAATTTCTTAAAATTTCATACATCTATAAGTGACCATTCTTGCTTTGATCATTTAACTATAGCTTGAACTATACTTTGATTTAACAACTATTATAGTACTTGAGAGTTTAGGATCAAAGCTTGAACTTCATTTCCCCTTAACATAAAAGTATAAAATTAGTGGTGACAAAAATAAAATAAATAATGGAATGAAGGGATGTATTCGTCGATAAATCCAATTGCAAAATATACATTTTTATACAAAAGAATTATAATATAAGTATACTAGAGTAAAAACATATGGTCAGTCGAAGGTCCCTAAGAAACAAAAATAATAATAACAAATTTATAACATTGAATTCCAATAAATATAATAATCAAATTATTATTATATTTATTTCGAACAACAAAGGGCATCACTTTTGACACGTGGACGACTCGACATAATTCCTTCATGTTTTCACCCCAAACGTGTCGATATCTTATTCGATATTGTAGTAAGCTTATGTCTTCCACGGAAGTTGCTCTCAACCTAGCGTTGGGACAGTCTACTACCATACCTCCCCCTTATCCCATTACATATGGGAATAGGATCATCTAATTTTTTTTACTTAACCATCGCTTCAGTTATATTTTAATCATTTAATTGTTTTTTAAACAATTACTAATATTATATTTTAGTTTTATTTTTATCACTCTTTTATGAGATAATCAATTATGATTGTGGTATTCATTTTTTTACCATACAATTTTAAATCAAAATTATTTTATCATACATAGTTAAAGTAAATTAAAATAAATATAAAAAATCAAATATAATATTTTTATCATATTTAACGAGATGAAATTAAAATAATAATATAAAATGATTAACAATGTTATTAATTTAATTTAATTTCTCTTATAAGTAAAAGCTTCATTTACCTAATAATAAGAGAGAGAAAAAAGTGTTAGTACATGCATGGACTATAATCCTAGGCAGTAGTTAAAAAGCTCGCAAACTACTCAATTTCTAGAAATAGAAATAGGCAGGTAAAATTTCAAGAGATTGAAGAGTATAAGGACTGAGTGCTAAATTAGACCAAAATAACCAACTGCGAAACCAAACCGCCTGCAAGGGTCGGCTGATAAGTACATGAGATGATCCCAAAGAAATTGCGCACACGTGCCAAATATTCAAACTCGGAGACAATCCCACACGTGCCTCAAACCATATGTGGGGACCCATTGAATTTTGAAATCACAGTCACCGATTGAATAACATAATGTTTCAAGTATTAGATTAATGATATAAAATAAATGAAAAGTCGATTTATAAAATACATATCAAATAGATTTTAGATCAAATTTTATTATATTTCAATTAATATGTTAACGTTTAGTTCAAGCGACCATTAATATTATAATAAAAAATAATTAATTTGAAATATATAAATAGTCAAATAATAATTTTATAATTATCAATAGTCGTGAGATTCAATAAATTAATACTCTATAGCCGGAAACTATTTTATAATTTTTATAGTAAAAAGATTAAACAAAACAATGTCTAATAATCGATAGATCACTTTATACTTTCTAGATTAATCTAAATTGATAACAATATAATATTTATTCAGTTTTTTTAATTAATTAAAAATAAATTTATACTTTCTATAGAGACATAAATATTCGAACCAAAAACCTTCAATAAAAACATCATACTACAAACTAAATACATCATATAAAAAAACGTCTAACATAATGATATGATGTATTATAATATTTTGTTTGAATTAATCACTAGTATATGATTTATTGACCAACTAATGCAGATCAAGTACTGCAGAGGCGAGGGTGACCCTCCCAACCCTGTTTGCTCCATTCGTAAATATCAGGATTCAAACCATTGACCTTGCTTAAGGGACCTAGTGTCTCATCACACTAGACCAACTGATTAAAAAATTAGCTAACCCTTATTCTCATATGTAATGGGATAAGGGGGATGTAAGATAGTAGATTACCCTCAACACCAGGTTGAGAACAGCTTCCGTAGGAGACCTCTGAATTATGAAATACCATCCGTGAGACTCGATTTCACGACCCCAAGATTAAGAACCTTGTGCTCTATCAACTGAGCTGGATGGTTGGTGATATATTATAATATTAATATAAAGAGTTTAAAATTTAAATTTGATATTTTATAGAAATAGCTAATTTTCAATATTAAAAAAAGTAATTTCATTTTTCACATTAATACATGGCTTCTATTTCTTTTCTATTTACATCATACATTTTCCCATCACAATTTGCCTTAAAAACTCATGTATAACCATCATAAATACAAAGTCTAGTCCTAGACTTACAAAAATATAAAAGAAAAGGATAAAAAAACTTATGTGGATAACATCCAAGTCCTTAAGATTTGGAGGTCATTTTCCACCCGTTCATAATTATCTTTGCTTCTATGTACAAAGAGGTACATGTAGGGACTAATATTCTATTACTAGACCGCCCATTGGAGCTCTATGGGGAATCCCTTTTCTCCGTTTAACAGTCCGGCAAGTAGCCGACGTCGGAGGCGGCGTCGACGGGCTAAAGCTTCGAGCTTTGCCGTTCTCTTTATTATTTTCGTCGTTCTTCTTCAACTTTCCGTGGCTGCTGCTGCTGCTGCAAGAATCGCCGGAGTCCGATTCCGTTCTCGGTTGCCTCTTCTTCTTCTGGAAATTCTTTGAAGTGCCAACAAGCTGCAATGACAATACAGAAACGCATTCAAAACTCGTTTTCTCAGCAGCCAAACAGCAATATACCAAGAAAATTCAATAGAAAAAAACTGGATTTACCTTGCAACCGAGAGAGCAAAACCGGAACGAGTCGACAAGGCTGCGGTCGCAGACCTCACAGGTGTTGATGACACCTTTCGCCGGCCTGGGTTGAGGCCTTTCGTTTATGAAAACAACCTTAGCACTATTGATAACATAAGTTTGGATCCCAGATATGTCTAGATACTTTTGAATCTCGGACACCCTTATTACATCATGGTATGAAGATCTCCTTATCTGTGAAAAAAAAAACATTACCAAAATCGAAATCAATGTTCTGTAATGAAAAAAAATGTGAATTTGATACCTGGATACAACGATGATCCTTGTGAAAAGCTAAGCAGAAAGAGCAGAGAGAACCGTTCGTGCAATCTAAGCAGTACATATTGCATTCGCTCTTGTGAGAATCGGCATGAAGTTTGCATTGGACGAAGAATTGTTCTATCAACAGAGGTTTCAGCCATGGCGGCCACCTGCTTTTGTATTCTTCATCAGGTCCACCGGCACCCTAAAACACGAACGAAATCAATCAACATTCGATTAAAACATGTTTTTTTAGGAAAACCCAGATAGATAAACCAAGTAAAAACACGAAACGAGTACAGAAGAACGAGTGTTGTTTGTGGGAACGAAGAGATATACCATGATTCTTCTGTTCTTGGGTTTGATTTCACGGATGGTGGATTCTTGATTTACGATCGCCAGCTTGAACTGCTTGACAAGAGAATAGTCTTAAGGAACAGTGTACTGTGTGTATGTTTTCTTTTCGGACAAGGTAAACAGAGGCGGCGGCGGCGGCCGAGAGAGTGAGAGAGAGAGAATTGAAATATAGAGAAATGGGGGATGGGAGGTCGTTCTTATCTACGAATCCGGTCAAATAGTCAACCAACCGAACCTAAGTCCGAACCTGAATCCCCTTCAGCTCCATGGGAGATGCGTGCAAGGAACTCACCTTCTTTTCATTTATTTCACTTTCATGTCCTTTTATTAATTAAGGCCAAAGTATACAAATAGTCCCCTAATTTTAATAGATCTTTCATTATAGTCACTTAACTTTTGGAAATTGCAATACAGTAATCAAACTAAAAGTATCACATCAACAAAAACTAAAAATTCAAATGGGACAAACGGAATAGGTGTTGTTTTAGTCAACTGAGGGTGCTAGATCGAATGTTGAGCCGTGCGAATTGATTCGAGAGGCTGTTTTAGTCGAACGAAATAGTTTGGTATCGGCTGCTGTTTGGGAGATTGCTCTGGCTAGGTGTGGTATGTGACGAAGAGCGCAACGTTGGGAAGAAGAATTGAAATGGGTGGTACCACATTTAAAGGTAAGTATTCGCTCGCTCTTCTCCTCAAATTAGTTTGGAATGCTTGCATGTACTTCATATGAAAGGAGTGAAATAGGCGTTGTTGTAGTCGACTGGGTGCTAGATCGAATGTTGAGCTTTATGAATTGATTTGAGATGTTGTGCAGGTGAAATTTCTAGAATTAATATAGGGAACCTTGATTTACAAATTTGTATATCTTGAGGAATTGATAATTGATTGTGCATAACATATGGGGGCTGGTTATACTGTCTTGGAGTATCAGTATTACGTATGGGAGTTCAATGATTGAATTTGAGTACAGGGATTGGTTTGGGGGTTGTGATGGAGGATGATGTTGTGTACATTGGTTCGTTTGGACCTGTTTTGCTATTCTGCTTTTGGATAATAATATATACATTTTATAAAAAAAACCCTAAAAGTTCAATGATTGTATTACAAGTTTCAAAAGTTAGGTGACCAAAATGCAAGTACTTTAAAAGTTTGGGGAATATTTATATACTTTACCCTTTAATTGATTATTTGTTTTATATTTAAAATCTTGCTTTTGTTATTTTCTAAACCCGATATTTCCTAAATCTTATATTTATAGATATACAAAACAAATATAGTTTAAAATTTTAGTACATATCAAAATCTAAATAATGAAATGTGTTATTCAATAAATAATAATAATAATAATAATAATAATAATAATAATAATAATAAAGTATGAACCAAATAGCCTCCGTTGTAAAAGAATTGTTATTATTCCTGAGGATCCTAGTTCGAGCACTATAGATGTCAAGGGTGTGAGCGTTCAAAGTTGAAAGGTTAAAAGTTATTTACGAACAAATACTATCTTGTACTTACACCATATTATTTAAAAATATAATAATATTAATAATAATAAAATGTATTATGATTTTCATAAAAATATCTACAAATAGTAAATATTCATAATATTCTTTTTTCATATTATTGAATATAATGTGTCTCGTTGAAATTTTACTAAAATAAAAAAAGTTCATGATAACTTTTTTTAATAAACAAAAAGTAGGGTAAAGTACACAAATTATCCATTGATTATAGTGTACTGCTTTATTAAGTCATTTGATGATTAAAATTTACAAAATGATAATTTGATTATAGAGTGTTGCTTTGTTGAGTCTTTCAAATAGTAAAAGTTGCAAAATAATCACTCAACTATTCGTTATGTTCTAAACTCATCTTTTTCAGTTGGAAAAATGACGATTGTTTGAGTTGGACGTTAACATGGTGACCAAAATATGATAGTCGTTTGAGATTTTGAAACCATATCTTATCATATCACAATCAGTGGGTTAACATTTAGCTTAAACTGTCGTAATTTTTAACAGAAATTGACGAGTTTGGAATATATGAATAGTCAGATGACCATTATATAACTTTTAATAATCGCGGGATTCGATAAAATAATTATTTCTGGATCAACAGATTATTTTTCAAAGTATGAATCCCGAATTTTAGGACTTATATCACATCACATGCTACACTTGTCAATGAGAATCTGATAACAATTATTTATGCATAATTTAAAGAGAGTAGTGTTGGTATTGTTTTAATGTCATGATATGTTTTATCTCCACATGTAAATAAATATCTTGTTTGAAATCGATTTCAATGTCAATCTAATAAGTTACATTGAAATCGATTATAGAGAGTATAAATCCGACTCGATTCAATATAAAATAAAGATTTAATTAAAATAATAATAAATTTAAAAAAATTATATTATTATCCTCAGGTCGGGTCGGAGTTTTTTCACCATCCACCTAAGTCCTACATCACCTCTTAAAAAATCAGATTCGACTCGACCCAAACCCAATTCTTTTTCTAAATCTAACCTTATCAAATCGGATAAAAACCGTCGAATTCAAATTAAATGATCATCCCTAAAGATGAATAACACGATCTTTAAATATTAATGGATCCCATCAATCATTGTTGGGTATAGTAGCGGAATCTTATTCAAGCTTTACGAAAAGGGTTGATAAATGACCCAATTAATCCAGGAAACCTTAGTGATCCCAAATTAGAAATTTGTTTCTTTCCATCCTATTCGTATTCATTGATTGTTATTAGTCCTTTTTAATACATAGAAATATAGGGTAAAGTACACAAATGGTCTCCGACTATAGAATATTACTTTGTCAAGTCCCTTGACTATTAAAAGTTATAACATGATCTCTTGACTATAGGGAATTGCTTTGTTAAATCCTTCGTACTATAAAGAATTGCTTTGTTGAATCCCTCGACTATAGGGAGTTGCTTTGTTGAGTCTCTCAACTATTAAAAGTTACAAAATGGTCACTCAACTATTCATTATGTTCTCAAGTTGTCCTTTTCCGTTAAAAAAAATAACGGTCATAGGAGTTGGACGTTAACATATTGACTGAGATATGACAGTCGTTTGAGATTATGAGATCAGATGTTATCATATCTCAGTCAATAGTTTAATGTGCAACTCAGATTTCCGTTAAAATTTTAACGAAAAATTATGACTTTGGAACATAATGAATAGTTGAGTGTCAATTTCTTAACTTTTAATAGTCATGAGACACAAAAAACAATTCCTTATAGTTAGAGGACTAATTTATAACTTTCAATAGTCAGAGGACTTAATAAAGCAATATCTTATAGTCAGAGGACTAATTTATGTACTTGCAAATGAAAACAATTTTGGGGGGTTAAAAACCAGAAAAAATGTGGAGGCCATTTTTTATTTTTTCTTCGAGGTGATAAAAACTGAAATGAGCAGTTTTTTTACGTGGAGGGTTAGTTTTAATGAAATAACCACTCATCATCAGAAAAGGGGGATACGGGGAATCATATTATCATCTATCACAAAAATTACACGAAAAAAGAGAGGAAAAAGAGATTAGAGAGACAGAGAGAAATATCAACAAGGAACTGAGAGCAAACGCATAAAAAACCTCCATTTTTGTTTACCTTTACAGAAAATAGAAAAACAGAAAGAACATTGTACTGAATTTTCCTCCTATTTTGGAGATTAAAGTAGCACTCTTGGAAAGTAAACGCAGAAGTTCCTTCTTTTCCACGAACCAAAGCAGTACAAAGCAAAAGTTCAATTCTTTCAAGGTTTTTTTTCTTCTTATTATTCTTTACAGTATCATTTCCTTCACTGGTTTTCATGCTTTTTGAATGATCAATAAAAAGTATAGTTTACATTTCTAAAGATGTTTCTTAGAATAGTGATTTTAGGTTTTCATTCAAAATAAATAGCAAGGAAATAAGATAGGTTATGTTAATACTTGGTGATTCAAAGCCCCGAGAGAAGTAGTCATCAAAGTCTCATTGGCATGAGTATGAGTCTCGAGATGCCACCAGAATCGTGAGAAGTGGGTAGTCGAGTTAGGTATGGAAATCTAAGGGAAAAGTTTGAGAGAAAAAAACAAAGTGAAGAAGGGGGAGGAATTATTCGATCTTACCTTAAATGCGAGGGCTTCATCGTTCGGAACCTATCGTCGGAGGACAAAGAAGGAAGCCAAATGGTGGCCAAACGTTGGTCATGGGTCATGCGTGAGAGGTATGAGAGAGGAGAAGATGAGTGGAGAGCAGAGTGAGAGAGCGGTAAAGGGACTTTCTGTGTGAGATTTAGTTTAGGTTTAGTATAGTTAGATTATATATTAAATGTTTAGGGTTAATTTGTTTAAGGTCCTTGAAAGTTCACCATGTATTTATGCTTTAGTCACTGTTATCATGCTTTTTATTCTATTTCAGCTTTTAGGTGCCCTGATTAAGTAGTTTCACCTTTTTCTCATATATATTGATTATTTATGTAGGCTTTTATTTGGAAATAATTAAGTTTTAGTCCTCCCAGATTTGAATGAATGTGCATTTAGGTCACTGAATTATTTTTTATTTTGTAGATTTGATTTTACGTACATTTAAATTTAGTCATTTTTAAGATATATATTTCTTTTTTGGGTTTGGCATGTTATGTTTTTTATTTTTATATTTAGGTCACATGTGTACATTATATGTTAATATGCATAATTTATGATTGTTAATTAAAATATACGTATATAATTTTTTGCATGTCACGTTATATGCTATTTTTAATTTTGTTTAGTTAATTTTGGCATGACATCCTTTTTTGCACAATTTGTATAATAGCCTCACGTGCATAACTCGACCTATTACATAATCGGACTAAGGGTAATACCCTTTTAATTTAAATTTTCTTGAATAGCCTGTCTTAACTGATTAGAGGGCCGTTATGACCATTTTAAATTAAAAGTGTATCCCGGAAGTGAAACCTAAAAATCAATTTGTCACCTAAAATTTGGGAACGAAAGAAAATGAAATGTTCAGTTATTTAAATCTATCGAGAAAAGGTTGTTATAGCTTTTAAGATCTAGTCTCGATATTTGTAAATAATCGAACATTCTTTATCTTTCTAAAACGACTTGGTAATTTTGATTTAATTTATTTGAGTGCTTTTAAATATTTTT